ACGTTGTCCAGCAGCTTCTTCATCAGCCTTATCTGTCCGCCCCTGGTTAGTGGAACCGTCATACAGTCTCTCAAGGAGTCTTATTCTACCCTATTTTCTGCTTCTGACTGTGTTCCCCATGTCTCAGAAGGCCTGACCCAAGAAGCGCATTCGGCCCTATGAGAACATGAGCATGGCTTATTTTTTGCTGTCCACCAGCGACTCAACTCCAGGCATAAGCTTTCAGCCCCATCAACGGGCATGTTCTCACAACTACCCACACAATCTCGAAATCGGGCGTCTTATTCCTGTCTGACCACCCGAACTTCGGTGCTTGGCTGGCGCATGTTTGTCCGAACATCGGGCGTGCAGGGCTTCCTCTCTCTTTCCTGGTCATGGCTTTCCATGTGCATACTTACATCCCGTCCCCAGCTCTGTATGGACTTTTGACTCTCCAGACAAGGAACTTATCGTTATATCCCCCAGGGCCACGAAATAAGACGAACAAGAACCTGCTTCCCGTGGATCTCACACGCCCCTCCTTCTGCAGGATGCATCTTGGCTCCTGCCAGATCCAACTTTATCCAAGTTCCCGTGGTGCCGGGGCGCCGCTTGGTACGGGGGGCCTCTCTTTTCTTCTTAGTTTCTGCCCTACGTCGGGAAAGGGCATGGGACGAACGGACGAGAATGGCGTTTCTCCCGGCTCCAAGCCTGCGGTTTACTCCTATGCCGCTCGGCTCGGGGGCCACGTCTCGGTTGAATGATGTTGGCCGCTTGCTGTTGAGTCTCTCGAGGTATGTATGCTTTTGGGCTTTTTTTTCGTCTTGTTTGTTTCGATCTCAAGTCGTCGGGACATTCAGAAGATCTCGTTTGAGGATCAGGAGATCTTGCGCTGGGAATCTCTTCCCCTCTTGACTTGTCTTGACCGTTGGAGGTTTATCGAGTCCCGGGGGACTGGGATTGCTCAAACCTCTTCCTCAAAGGTTCGTTAATATACGATGTACATGTGAAGACACAACGTGCCCTGGCTGCTTGGTATTTGGGTCTATCATCACGAACAAGATGCCTTGATTAGTTACTATGCCGCCATTGCTCTCTATGGAGCTCTAGGACTAAGACTCTGTCAGAGTTGGCATGCTACTCACGTTCTCTATAAAATTAGCATATAAGAAAGCCGCTACTTCTATTCGAGACGGGAAACGGCTCAACTCTCGAGCCCGGATACCACAATACTCATCCAGCACTCTTATCAAAGCCCCGAGAATGTCGTAATCTATCCGATCTGGACTTTACCAAAAGTCCATCAAGCCGTTGATTGTATCTTGGACGCAGACCCCTCTCCTAAGTCCGAACGTGCCCGTAACACACGGGCTGTCAAGTTTGTCTGTTTGGCTGTCTTGCTTATCGAGAGTCATAAGGCATCGAATACAAGCACGCCCTTTGTGTGCGTCTCTCTATTTGCTTGTGTGTCTATGGTTTCTGTGTATGTATGTAAGGCTGCCCGTCCTTGCTCTCCAGCAGCAGCCATGTAAGTCGAAAGGTAAACATGGTCGTGCCCACTACCTTGCAGCGTTCTTTGCAATTGGACGAACACGCAGAAACCGTATGTCCAGTCCTGCAAGCCTGCACTCATATACACACGCACACATACACATACACTTTGGCTGGTGCTTAGGTACCATGGCTTACACACGCCCCGCCGCCCGCCCGCGCCTGCGCTCAGCCCATTCCCCCGAGGCGTACAGATTCTGACACGAACATGGCAAAAGTAAGAGACGAACGAACGAGGACAAGCAGCCAATGTCTCACGCACTTTTGCTCTTTGAACGAATCAAGAGTTGGGATTGAGAGGGGGCGTTCGTTGTTTGCTGACTAGAGTTCTTTTTTTTGTTGTCAACTCTGTTTCTTTCCCGTTCTCTTCTTGCTGTCTCTGTGTCTCTCAAAGCACTTGGGCTGCCTCCCCGGTTTGACCTCCTTTCTCGGTTTTCATCCCCTCTTTTTTCTTTTCTCTTTGAACCTTGGGCCTTGGAACATGAACCTCGAATCCCATCGTTGTGGTACCCCGCGAATGAGCAGCGGAAACGAGACCGAACCTGATTACTTGCTCACTTTTGTTGGGATCCAAATTACATCCGAGAGAGACCGTGGTTTGTTCATCTCTGGTTCCTGTTCTGTTACTTGGCTTACAAAACTTGACACGCCCTTCAAGGGTTACAGACTCCAGACGCAAGAAGGCACCCCAGTGATGTGGTGATATCTTCCCGAGACCCAAACTACGGAGACGGAACAGACCACAACCCATCAAGGCCTCCCTTTTTCTTTTTTCTCTTGTCTTTTCTTAGTAACTGTCACGGCTTTGAATGTTTCAAACGGGTTCTTCGACGGATCCCGCTAGATTCCCGTCTTCCCGCTCTCTCCCTTGTTAGGTTTCGTTTTGTTCGAACCCGTGGAGATGGGAACCAGTCATGTTCGGGTCAGGCCAGCACAGTCTGTGTCAGTCAGTTCGTGGTTCCGGCGAACTGGGGCAGAGTTTGGGAAGAACCCCATGGATGCTGGTTGTTCATCTCCTCTCGAGAGGAGTATGGCGGTGTATTGTTTCCCATATTTGCCTTTACCCTGTTCCTCCCTCTCTCTGTCTCTCTTACTAACGTGATGATACACGGTTCTCGCCAGAGGCAAGGCCCCCTACCACTGTTCCCAACCCAACCTTACGAACCATGTGAGAGAGCAGGTAAGATGGGAAAGCGGTCAAGCTTCTTCGGTCCCGCTGCGGGATGACATGCGTCAGCTCCGGTTGCGAGACAGGTAGTTGAGAGAAACGTAACGAATGGGAAGGGACTGGTGGTTTCCCCTTTCTCTCCGGCGTCGTATCCCGGAATCCTTCCTGCTCTTTTGTGTTTCCCAACCTTTCTAAGCTTGTCTCGGGTTTCTTACTGCCATTTCTAGAGCCTATCACATAGTCTCCAGCCAAGCTTGACCGGAACTGGGAAGGCATCACGATTCGGCATTATCCTCTTCTCAGCTGTGGAGGATTGCCCAAAACCTTACCTCACATCACTTTCTTATCTTCGGGATCGACTGGGCAGAACTCGTCGTCCCCACGCTTCCGTCCCCTGGTTATCTCGCGGTCTCTGAGTTGTCCTTGGTATCGTTATGTTCATCACGTTGCATCGCCGAAGGCTGATCTCTGCTTACTTCCCCTCCTCGTATGTGTAGAGCCACCATCCATGCCGTGCTCCAGGAACTTGACCGCCCCCGACGCTGGGCATCGGAAACTTTATTGCGAGGAAGCCTTGATCTTCCTCTTGTCTTTTTTTGCGTTACGCGTACTTGTGAGTGTGTGCGTGGTGCGGATTGGCCTCTCTCTCATGTCCCAGACATGACGGTGCATGTTCTGATGTAGGCAGGGGGCGCCAGATGGAACACACACATACACACTCGCACACATAGGTCTAGTACAGATGGACACACGCATACACCGTAGGGCAAGCAACAGCCCATGAGAGGTCCAGAAAGGTCTGCGTCGGGTTTCCAGAGATGCAGATCACGGAGGTTGCACTGGCGTGGTAGGGCACGCCGAACCGCGCGCCCTTGGTCTTGCTTTTCCTGCAGTGAAGATCAAAGGTATATAACTCGAGGTAAGGTGGCAAAACTGTCCTATTACCAATCGCTTCTTTCCCTCTTTCTTCTGCTCTTGTTGTTGTGTTGTTGTATCTTTCGTTCTTCGAAATACTCCCCTTCCCCCCCCTACCCGACCTCTTCTGTAGCTGGCATCTGACAGTATCGTGGCTACCATCTCATCGACTTTAACTCTTTTATCTTCTGATCTTATTCGCTATTACTTCCCTTATCTCTCGTCTACCCATCCCGAAGAAGTATGGAACCTCAACCTGCCAATGATGTCCCAGATACTACGCACGATGATACCATTTCCCTTATGATTCTCGAATATCTTTGATCATCGATCATCATCACATCAGCTTTCAAGCTACATCACCGCGAAACTTTATGCAGCTGCCTTAGATACCCTTTCTCTCTTCATTGAAGCAGAAACTAATTGTTGGAAATCACGCCGGTGCCGCAAAACCACGCCACGCCTCCCAGGAACTTTCAAGCTCAATCGTGCAAGATGAGCAGACGGCAACGGGTCGCTGCGAAGTGGACGATGTTCCTCATCTTCATCCGTAATCCTTCCCTCCTTTGATTTGATCTTCAAAAGAGAGAATATGGATCGCTGTTCGGCTCTCAGACCCCCGCCTGAGACGTTTCTTGGATGGAGGAGACCTCTTGCCCTTGAGAACATTACTCAGCTACTGGACTCAATACGTCAATAACGGCAATAGTCAAGAGCCTAGGGGGTTCTTCTATGCGGAATCTCAATAATTCATGGCCAGCTCAACACAATTTCTTCTTATGGACGACAAATTATGTGTGGTTGCCGAAGTCTCAATTTATTTCACGACATTTGCCACACTTCAATACCACAAAATGAATCTGCCACTTGCATCAAGCTCACGAAAGCCATCGCAGCTTCAAACACCTGGTCCACGACTCAAAAGCCCCCGGAACAACATCCCGGCACCAGATTCATCCTCTCAGTCTATTAAGGCCCCTAAATACTGCGCCTTCTCGTCAAAAACCGACCTCCGCGTCGATCCGACCTGGCATACGATGTGAGGCTTGTTAGCATCACCCACCCAATTCAGGCTAGCTCCACAAGACCAGCCAAGCTCTCAACGGTCGACTCTCGGCAACATCCGCGAAGACTCTCTCTCCTCGGTCGTTCCGGACTAGATTTCTTTACGGAAAAGACTCACGCCAACGCCACATTACAGAGAACGGTTCGAGCGCGTCGGCGGTGGTTGCACACACACCAACACCGCAGCCGCAATGCCCGCGCTCTCTCTCTCTCACACACACGGTCAGAATCAGCCTCAAATGCGCGCAAACTACCTCATAGAGTTGCACAAGATTTGCTCGCCAAACGACACATTATAAGGCATCTGACAGATCCCATCCCAGAGACTCGTACTCTTTGTCTCTATCTTCAAACTTACATCTTCTCGAAATCTCTAATGACAAATATCCCTCGAAACATGACGGTGGCGCGCGTGTTCACAGGGACATGACTGTCACCGTATAAGGGCGAGTTCGTCGTTCGACATGGAGGTGTTCGTCCGGAAGCCAACGCCTTCTTGCCTCACATCAGCTTTCATCCGAAGTTCTGGCACGCAGAGTTCTGTGTTCTGCCCTTCCTTCACCTCTGATTGTTTTGTTTCAAACCCTTCAGAAACGCGGAATCGCATGAGATAGGCACGTCATTGTCTGGCATCCTTCTCCCAGTTCCTGTCTCCGAACCTTGACAGCCTTGCCTGCGGCACAAAATTATGTTTTGCAGTGTCCGTTTAACGCTCTGCGGCCATCTTGCTCAAATATTTGAGGATTCGGGAGATGCCGAGGTTCTTGGGGAATCTAAATTGTTCATGCTCGACCGTATGACCGGCCAGCCTCGGCGTCAAAACCATTGACATGCGTCAAACCCATCCGAACTTCCATGCCGGCATACCCTTCCTGTCCTGCTTTCTTTCCTTCGGCAGACCAGAGGGCCCAACCTTTGCACACACCTGTCAAGGGCAGCGAGACCAAGTTCTCACGACTCGCTCCCGTGGTCATAGCTAAAGCTCTGCAAGTTCGACAAGCCAAGAGAATTCATATTCACTGCAAGAAGTCAAGATGGCGAGAGTCAACAACTTCCTCCTCATTATTCCCCACATTTTCCCACCTATTTATGTTTTAATACCCCCCAACCGTCTCCATCATCTACATTTCTCAAAGGAATTCATCTCAATCTACCAGGATCGTCAGACCTCCCGTGCCAAACTTCGGCGCTACCAAAACGCCACACCACAAGGGAAGCGAGACGGATGGATGAAAAGAGAGGCAGTGGAAGAAGTCGCTCGTAGTAGAGCGGCCGTTATTACATATTAGTCCGACTGACCCACCATCACCACCCACTCTCACCCGTTTCCCTTCATCATCGTCATCAACTCCGACAAAACAATAAGTCCTATGCATATCCACATGGCATCATGGGTACTATTTACAAGAACGGTACTGGGAGTCCCATTCAGGAAAAGAAGAAAAGAAAAAAGAAATTAAGGAGAGATGAGGTGTCAGGTCTCTGTTACTTCGAGAGACCGGTGCGGCGGATGGTGCGTCCGCGGAGCTGAGCAGGAGGGTGGGCCGGAGCATTGTAACGCTTGGTGGGTGGCGAGGCGGGAGGGTTGTAGGCGGCACTACAGCAAAGTGTCAGTTTCCAAGAATTCTAAAAGAGATTGCAACGCTTCTGATGAGAAGGAAGGGGAGAAAACTTACCCAGTGTACGTGGGGAAAGGCTCGAGGTTCATGCCAGTCTGGTCAAGCACGTTGGCCGTGTTACCGGCAGCGTTACCAGCAGTGGGGATACCCTGAGCGCGGCAGGCAGCCTTGTGATCATCAGGGATGGTGAGGTTGCGGAGTCTCTCAGGAGCCTCGATGATGGTAGCGGTCAGACCCATCTCCACGTGCCACTCAATGTGGCAGTGGAAGAGGTAGACGCCGGGGTTCTTGGCCTCGAAGCGTAGGACTGCGTGAGAATTGCCCATGACGGAGACGGTGTCGCGGCGCGGGGGCTTCTGGTTGAGGCGGGCGCGGGCGACGCCGGGCCAGACGCCCGTGCCGGAAGCGGGGCGTCTGACAACCTGGAAGTGGTGGCCGTGGAGATGGAAGGGGTGGATGGCCTCGTTGTTGTTATTGACGACGATGTCAACGATGTCACCGTAATTCACGATGAAGGGGTGGACAGCGCCGTAGACGAGGGTGTTGGTGTTGTTCTCGCCGGTGGTGGAGGCCGTGTAGAGGGTGGGCACCTTCTGGTCAACGTAGGGGGTGCCGTTTACGCAAGCGCGGGGGATGCCGTTCTTGTCGAAGCAGAATGCCCAGTCGAACTGGTAGATTTTGGTGGCGGCAGGGAGGATGGCAACGTCTCCGTAGGGCTCGAAGACGGCATCGTCAGACGGACGCCATTCCTTGACAACGTCGGTACCGAAGGCTCTGTCAGGGAACATGACCAGCTGTCCGGTGTAGTTGAAGGGCCAGCTCTGAGCAAAGTCCTTGTTGCTGTAGTCGCGATTGATATCGGCGGCGATGAGGAAACCATAGTTGCGGTTATCGCGGTCAATACACTTGATGAGAACATCATAACGCTGAGCGGGAGCAATACGCAGCATGTATGAGGTCTTCTGCTTGATGTAGGCAGCATCGGACATAATCACGTTCATGTCGTGAGAGTCGAAGTGGATCATGAAGGAAGCAAAGGCGGCGAAGTTGATCATGCGGATGCGGTAGGTCTTTCCCTTCTCGAACTTGAACTTGGCGCCGAGTCCATCGTTGACGACCATGTTGTCAGGGATAGGGGGCGCGAAGCGAGTGTTGGACGGAAGCAGCATGTTCTGTACAAGAGGAATGGTCTCCGAGTTGTACCTGCATCGAATTAGTCTAGAAGTCTCACTCGCATTCTCATGCATCACTTACCAGTCTGAAACAGACAGGATGTACTCCTCGTCGTATTGCCCAGCATAGGGGTCCGCAGGGTCGTGAATAATCAGGGGACCACGCATGCCGTCGGGATACTGGCCCATGTTGTGAGAGTGCCACCAGTATGTGCCGCCCGTATCAGCCTATACGGTTTGGTTAGCTACGCTTTAAGGACCAGATCTTCATGTTGATTTGACTTACAGTGAACGAGTAGGTCATGGTCATATCCGGAGGGAGAGGGCATTGAGTAACCATGCTGGGGCCGTCCATCCAGTTGGTGCTGACTTGGTCGATGCCATGAAAGTGAATACCGGTGGTCTGGTTGCCAAGTTTGTTGGTGAGATGAACAACGACGGTGTCTCCCACAGTGGCCTCGATCTTGGGGCAAGGCCATTGGCCATTGATACCAATGACAGCCCTCGAGACATTGAGAGGGGCAGCGTTGACCCAAGTGGCCTCCCAGTTGTAGGTCACAGTCGCGGCAAGGGCAGTGTTGGCCCAAGCCAAGGCGAAGAGAGACCGCAACATATTGGGCACTCAAGACTAGACAGACCTGGTCTAGCGAGTGAAAATTAAGTAATTATGGTTACTCTTCCGGCGAACGAGTGGAGGAAGGAAGTACGAATGCAGGGGGGAAAGAAGGGAAGGGAAAGGCGCGAGTGAAGAGTAAGATCTCGTATCATAATCCGAAGAGGGAGAGCAAGAGAACTTATACAGAATGAATGACACGAGGAGGATTTGCATGGCCAGAGCGTGAGAAGGGTGGAATCTGGACGCTGCAGCCTTCTCTTGGACTGGCCGGCCCCGGCTGCTTGGTAGAGGTGATGCTCTGACATGGTGCCGGGCTTGGGTTTGCCAAAAGTCGATCGATGCTCGGTCGAGGCGAGACGGGCCACCGGAGCAGAACGGCGGCCTGGATGACATATGGCGTTGTGCTGACTGCTTGCACATGGCATGTATTGGAGTCGGGCATGGCCAGGCGTATAAGCCACAGCTTGGGATTAGCTCGATGCATGATCGGATGTCCGTTGGATGCAGCGAGCTAGGGGAGGGGGACTAGACCCTGTCAAGGCTATCTAGGATGGTTCGTATCATCAACTCTTGGGCAGGTGGGCACTGGAGAGCACGGTATGGCAGGTCCTCAGACGAATGAGTGTCGGGACAACAGTCAATATCCATGACTAGGGCCGGTGACTATCTACTCGGGGCTCTTGAGACACCGGCAACACGGCCGTGTATTCCTGTGCACTTGAAAGAAGAAACTCGTGAGCTGTAGGCGAGGGAAAGAAGTGCATGAGCAATCTAAGGTTGCATCTCTCACTAAGAAAGCAAGGGGGTCATCAGACGTGCTCAATATGCGATTGACCAAAGCCCTGGTGCCATCCGGGGTGCGCTAGCTGGGCAGAAGACTTGATGAGAATAGTTGACAATCACTGGATATGTCTACAATTGGGTGGTGATTATACGCCACCATGCAAGAAGGGCTCTCTGCAGGATAAGGAAATGAACCGGGGAGGCCACGAGAAACACAGCAGGAAGTGCTGGCGCGAATCCCTGGTCTTCAAGAGACAAAACTTCATAAGACATCTTTAAACAGCGACTTGATAGGCAATCCGTCGAGGCTGAACTTGCAGGCCACAACAGTTTGACTCGGGCGCCTTGCGAAAACGAGAGTTCCAGCCCATGTCGAAGGAAGCGTAAGACGGTTCTTCGGCAAGCAGACCACTCTTTGCGCAGGAGCAAGCTACCATCCACTTTCAAGAGTCAGTGTTCGAGTTGTGGGTGTAGGGGAACAGTGTGAGGTTGCAGGTCTAGTTCGGCCGAAGCGCTCAGGTACATGCCGACGTCATGGCGGTAGACTTTACCCTCTCGAGGTTGGGCTGTCGTTCTGTGCGAATCTAGAGCCGAGGAAAGGAACGCTTTGGTGAGATGGGATGGTCGCCGGATTCCGTCCGCCGGATTTTTCGTCCCAAGAAGCCCGCGAGCGTGGGCAATGTGCAGTTCCGTCATCTTGGCAACAAACAGACGTTGGATGAGAAGTGAATCAAGAACTTTGCTACCGGTATCCTAAACCTCTTTGCGGTGGCGTCGAAGAGTGTGGATTACCTCAACGTGTGTGGATCTGTCTCGTAGGAAAGCCAAGATTGGGGTTGTTGAACCAGGTGAACCAGGTCTCGGTGCTAGGCCCAAAAAAGTCCATTTGTGCTGCCGTTATGGTTAAGAATTGGGTTCCAACTGCCTTCCGGTGACCACTTGACTTTCAATTCGGGAACTTTTGGGCCTTGCCGTGTACGACGAGGCTTTTGTGCTGCGGTGAAAGGTACGGCCATTTGAGAGTGTACGCCCACGGGTGTGCCTGTGTATGGATATTATCTGACTTACCGTCCCTCTCTGTGGATGGTTGGGATACATACACCGGCCGCTGTAGTGCCATCGCGGTCTGCAAGAAACGTGTCAGGCCAATGATGAGCTGGCGCTAATGAACAAAGAAGAGAGACCGCCGGCCGGGATTATCGTTGGCTGAATCAGACTAGACAGACGACCTCGCGAGTACCGCACTGGCATGTTGAAACCCGTAGATTTCTGATTCAGCTGGGTTGAAAGTTGGTTATGGGCGCAGCAGAGCCAAGCTGCCAACATGGCAGGGCAGGGAATATGCACAAGCCAGCTGTAGTCATACTGCCTTGCCCTGCTGGCGTTGGCCCATGCGCATGTAAGCAGTGCGCTGTCGGGATTGTGCGAGTAAGCGTGTATGGATGAAGATATTGTTAACTTGGAAGCGTCCGAGTGAGGTGAGAGTTGTTGTTGTTGGAGGAAACGTGCTAATGGGACGGATGACGGTACGTATCGGAGGATATGCTCATGCCTGAGGCTCTTGGCTTACTCCCACAGTTACATTGAGTAAGGTACTTACCTTACCACGGTACTGAAGGCAGCATCCCATACATCCGTAGACTAAGGCAGTCAGTAGGTAGCTCAGTATTCCGTACCTTACCTTACGTGGAGATGGTTGAGAAGGAGGAAAGCCAAGTGCCCTGAGATGGGAAATTTCCTCCCGCATTAGCGCTGGCGGGATCGTATTCCCCTCCAACCTGAGGGCCCCTCTTCTCCCGTTTCCCCGTTCCCCTTTCCCACCCTCAAAATAGAAAAGAGCATTGGGAAGCAGCTTGCAGCTGCACTTACCGTCGGTCCAGGAGGCTTGGTCCTTCTTGGGCCGGTGCGCCTTACCTTAGTTGCAGTAGCATCAGATTCACCTTCCAGTCCGTTTGTTCTTATCATCCCACTACACTCACGCCAAAACGGCGGCAAGGGGACTACACCCAAGCTTCAACTACGAAAACCGTCGTGATCAGGTCGGTAACACAGGGATGATAGCCGTACGAGTACCTAGTCAGCGATCGACAGATCAGTGATCGACCACGGCACCATTAACCGACCTGTTGCCAGCCGAAGATCCCAGTGGGTTCTATCCGTTCACGAAACCCACCTTGACCGGCACCATTTTACTGATGGGGCAGGCTTTCAAGGTCGCTCTCTTTGAGTCCGAGTCCGAGACCTTCGTCCTCTATAGCTTACATCACCACTTTGTCTGTTCATGTCACTGACCTCTTCTACTTTATTTCCAGAAGTAGTACCTTTATCCGTTTCGAACAGAAAACCCCGAGTTTCCGGCCCGCCCAGTCCGTTCATTGCGGACCCCTTCGAAGACCATACCGTGGACCGCTTCTTTGGCTCTATAATGGCGACTAGGTTCACCTAATCAGGAGTTTCAAACTTTCTGAACAATGAATGGCATTCGGTTTGACAGGAATGACAAGGCCACGGACTTCATCCGCGTCTGGCACACTTTGCGGGTTTGATGATCTCTGAATATCAGGCAATAGAAACGCCGACGTCACCTAAAGTAAACGTTCCTCCCATGTGGCCATATCCAGTTCATGGCACTGCATACAGTTCACGAGTGAGACCGGCAGTTTCTCTGCCGTCTGCAATTGCAAAGGCGGTCTCCTCAGTACTCAACATTGACTTCTTGTCGTTGTGGAGTGCGATTATCCACTAACCGCACACGACTATCCGTATAGTCTAGCAGAACGGCCCCCTGGCTTTTCAGGTGGCCCGTAAGCCACACCATCCAAGGGCTAAGGCGAGATGCGACCACCACTTCGGCACCTGCAGCACTGTTACTTGGATGCCGTTGCAACAACCCTCGGCATCCTTAACCCAGATCGACCATCCATCTGATTGTCCGCTAATTAAATGCGACATGCCTTGTCATGACATGGCCCTAGCTAGAACATAAACAAGAGCTCCGGGCCTCCGAGTTGTCAAGCATGCCCTGGACTAACAGCCTAGTGGCACTTCTCCCTTCGCTTGATGGCCCACTCACCACTATTCAATTCCCCTGACATCCGCCCGAGAATGGCTACTCGTTTGACGGCATACAATTCTGTCACTCACCAGCCTGGTCCGAACGGCGTGTTTAGAGGGTTCCGTCCATCCAAGACACATTCGCCCGCGGATTCCGCTTTATCGGCTGGCCAAATTCGCGCTGCTGAAGCTTCTCAACGGCGCAGGCCAGTACCGCGGCGTCTGTCTACAGTTCTCTGTTACACACCCTGGTTGAGGTACCTCCGCCACCATTACATGGAGAAAAGTGTTGGCTTTAGCCAGGCCTTGCGAGCCTCTTTTGCTTCATGCAGGTAAGAAAAGATCCCTCGGAGAACACGTCAAACCTGCTTTTGGGCGTCGAGAATCCTGCACACTGGAGGAGCCTAAGCGAAGCTGGATGGATCGGGAAAACGCTTGGTTACCCCAGGCCTTACTCAACAGCTGAGCCACTTAGCAGAGGGTTTTCATACACGCATATGCACGGATCATAGAAGATCAAGTGTCTCTCTCTTTGGTGATTCTCTTCGCTTTTGCAGTTCTCGCTGCCCGTATTTCCGTCTAGTTCGTCGCTGTCTCTCGCTTCGACCGGACCGTCCTAGCTCGTTGTATACCCTGTGGCCAGCCCGAGCTGTGTTTCTTCTTCCTGCTAACTAAGCTTCAACGGCTGGTGTCACTCAACTACATCCTTAACGAAATCTTTCAAGTCATCTCAGACGCAGCATGAAGTACCTCAGTGAGCTCAGCTCTATTACTTTGGTGCAACAAAGCTGGCGTCCTCACAGCAAAAAGGTTTCCCCAACACCGCTGGCCCAGAGCCTCGGTATCTCACTCAAGCCCAGCAATGAGTGTAAGTGGTGCTCGTGTTGTACAACCCATATTGATGGCACAAGTTACTCGATGCCAGGCGCCCAAGAAATACTGCATTTCAATGCAGCTAGCGAAGTTGTGCATTCCTACAGAGACAATGATCTAGTTTGACGGCTTACGGCTAATCAGCAATCGACGCTGAACATTAATACTAGTGGAGGCGTCAACATCCAGGAATACGGTCAGCTTGATGCTCCCCTGGACACCGCCTATTTTGAGTGCCGAGCCCGACATATTCAGCTTCCTAGCGATCCTGGCCAAGTTACCCAAAGGCTCCTCTTTCAAGGCAACAACACCTTGTGGAAAGTACCCAGATGCAGATGCAACGCAGAGGCTGATGCACACCTCAGCATCGTGCATGCGCCCTAGACGGAAATATTGCTGAGCGCGCCGCTTAGCGGCCAAGCCTTGCCTTGTGAGTGGATGGATGGGGAGCATCCCGTCTCTAGCGTCTATCATTCACCGAGCCTTGCAGGAACCCCTGGTCCCCGTCCTCACCACTGTGGCTGACAACAAGGAGAAGTCGGTCCATCCAACACTCAGCTTACTTGGATTGCCTGTTGCTTATCGATGCCCTACCACGGCGGGGAGAGCGTCCAGCTGACGGCCTCATTGCTCAACGGCCTTGGGGTTGCAGGGCAATGATTGACGCAGCCAAATG